TCCAATCGTATGAAATAGAAATTGAAACGTTTCTCTATCAAACAAAAAAACAACCTTGAAGTTTGGTCGAGAAATGGTGGAGATATTTAATTTTCTTTTTGGTCAATGAATTTCCGGACACCCGGTAGAAGATATCAATAACATCTACTTCATAACTTTCACCAATTCAGGTGATAAATGAGAGAAATATCCTAGTCTCGTGAATCGATATTTAACAAATATGAAGGACCCTATTCAGACTTTTTTTTCTACTTATTTCCTTTTATATCCCGTTAATGAGAAAGATTTTTGACCTTGCTTCATTACAGAAAATAGTTAATAATTTAACTGTTACTATTATGGTATATTTTTACATGCTAACAAAATACTTTTGTCTTGATTTTTCTCTTCTCGATAATGAATGATTTATATATGTTTACAGATATATATAGCAACATCATATAGAACAGATAAAAAACACCTGTGCACCGAAATCGTATTAAAGAACATGCGAGAGAGAAATCAGAGCAAAAAAAGAAAGTTTTTTTATCATTCATTACTCTAAATGACCTGATGCATGTCCAATTCTTTTTTGTTTCTAATACATCAGTATACTCCATTGATAACTGCTGAGGTATTACGGAGAAAAAGAAAAAATATGATGTAATATGATGATATATATATATTCATATAATTACAGTATTCACACTTAGGCCTTTCTCTCCTTTTCTTGTACAATGAATAAAAAATTACAAAAGAACGAAAAATTTTGGTGATGTTAAACTTTTATTAGGCTATCAATTCTATGCGTGTGTACAGCTAATGATGATTTTCATTCTGATTTTTTTATACCAAGTCATAAAATGCCAATCTTCTCTCTCTTCTGCTCTACACTTTTTTTCAGAGTAAATAAATAAAGTATTGCTCGCATACACTCGTCAAATGTCAAATAAAATAAGTAGTGACGTTGCTGCTGCTATATGCTGTATAAATCAATAGATGAAACAAGCATACGAAATATATCAATTATTTCTACCGAAGGTCAGTTTTACAGAGAATAAAACAGATGATGTGTGAGATAAACGAGGCGAGAATATTCAGCTTTTTATATTTACAAAAAAGAAAGGAACATATGTTTGATACATTGCAAAACTTAAAGAAGTGGATCGATATTGCGTAAAATTCGTCTGTTGCATCATCCCAGCTTATTTGCCGAGTAAAATAATCTATTTTCAAACGTCTTCGAATTTTGTGAATCACGTATTCTGCTGTTTCGAGAGGATAATCCCATTCGGATATCTGCCATTTAATATATTATCTCTTTCCGAGAATTTTTTTTTTAATCAAGTTTTACGCAATATCCCCTCAGTGAACGTGAGTAGCTGAAAAGTAAAATTTTTCTGTTTTGAGTAAATTTGTCAAATATGTCACTGCATGCATTTTTGCATATAGATCATAATTTTGGTATTTATTTTGAAGTTCGCTAATTAGAAAATGGATTTCTTCCGCTAGTGGACGAGAGAATCAAAATGTTTTAATGTTAGAGCATACTCACCAGTGAAAATGATTCAGGCTTTATGGAATAAAACAAATTGTGGGGTCTAAATGTAAGAAGACAAAATTTCGGATATAGGCTACGCATTCTTTAATTATAATACAGGAGGCCTCTTCCAGAAAGATAAAATAACACATTCCTCATAGTATGTTTCTTTTTTGTCGGCGAAATTTATTTTCTTGGATATAATTGTTTAAGCACCACTTTCTTAGTGGGGGTCCAAAATATTCCCTCCTAATACTATGTTAAAAGAGACCTTTCCGCTGCGGATACGAGACAGTGCAATTGGCCAAAGAGAATCCAGTGATATAAGCAGAACCATTTGAAAATGTCCTACTATGCAAATCTGAGTGGATCTTTGTGTCGGAAATAACCTTTTTCAGTTTTGTTTACCCTACAATTCTTCACTTGAGGCCCGAAGGGACGAGTGCTTATTATTCGTGTAATCAGCGCATCGCGTTCTACAAGATAGTATATATGCCGTTGAAAAAATCGCGTGACACTTGATGAGCATCCCTTGTGATGAGCATTCCGGAATAGAAAGTAACTTTATGGAGAATGGTGAAAGGTGTCGAAAACGTACAATATTTGTAAAAGTACTTTTCAACCTATGCTGTTATTTAGCGCTGGTAGTTTGAACAAATAGAAAATATATTATCCGACAGATGCTCGCAACCTAGGCCGAGGATTCCGAAGACAAGTTTCAGAAAGATCCAACCGGATCCGACGTCGGAACATGCTGGAAGCCGACAAAATCTGGTAAAATCCTACTGGAATCATGCCGTATTATGTCGGAATCTTGGCGCCGGATTCCGTGCCGGACGATGTCAGTAATGATCCGATCGGATCCTTCGAGTTCCAGACATCGAACTTAAGGCTAAAAATAGTCTTAGATTTTTTATTTTCTATAGTTTTTCGTTCATTTTCTAGGGGGCTTCTGTCTCTGCACATTCGAGAGAGCGTAAGGACCCACTAGCTATGGCGTGCACAACACGTCTGTTAATCAGTGTGAGCGATGACACACATTGATAAGAATTTTAGAAGAAAATTTTCCTGGTTTTTAGTTTCTGCAATGTCATATTTAAAGCACTGCTGTCGCAAAACAAAACGGTGAATAAATTATGCATACAGAAAATAAAGAAAAAAAATAAAGAAGTATGTACCACAGGATCTGTCGATTTGCAGTGACCGGAAATTAACGGATCCGACCGGTTTCGATCTCCGGATCCTCTAGGGTTCAGATATCGAGAAACAAAATAATTGAGTGGATTCTGGTCTCGGAGTGCAGTCGGCCGTCCGAACTTTGGAAATCACCGGAACTGAAAGTATCCTACAGGATCCAATAGGACGAATTCGACCTGGCAACCATTATCTTTATGAAGCTTTTCTATGACTTTCGAGGAAATGAGGGACTGAGGTTTATATTAAGAGTTTTTATTTGGTTTTTCACACAACATCCAACCAGACTTTCTATGTATAACTTGCGCGATCAAAATGAAGCCGTCGCATTCGTCGAATAATAACACGTTGAGGGATAAAAAATGTTTTTGGGTCAACTATGCCTTTGACTAACATTTTTGTCTGCGCAGACAGCCTGTACTGCCAGTTATGAACTGACTTCTATTAGTCACAGATAGTTGACGGCATCTCTGAATCCAAGCTAGCTAATAGCACAATATCTTTTACTGGTGTTAGTGAGAGTGAAAGTTAATTATCATCTCGTATTTAAATATCTCTAATCCACTTTCTGTGAATTTTGACTAAATATATTTTGATATATTTAGTATATATTTTGATCAGAAAAAATAAGAGTTTTATGCCGATTAGCAATTAACTAGACAGTTAACCACACAGCTAAATGTGGATAATGAGTGGATTTTTATCACTTTAATAAACATAGTAGAGAACATGTTCTTGATCATAATTTCCAAATTTTCTTTTGAGATAGATCTAGAAGTTTGCAGAAGTGATCATTGTGATAATGGTTGAAGGTCTGTGGAATTATCTAAATAGAAATTAAAATCTACTCGATCAACCTTTAAAAGACTCTGTTTAACCCAGATGTCATAGCTGCCCCATAAAGAATGGCAGTCTCAATATTTTTCATTTATCTCTTTCGTTACCGAGGCTTGGACTTCTTTTAAAAAGATTCGTCGTTTTATTCTCTACAAAAAACATATTGAACATTTTTTTATATACCGTAGAAATAAAAGAATATAGAACCCTTCAATTTCCATTACTTTGAAATTTAAACAACAGTTGTTCAGTTCTGGTTCTTTGTATTTTGCAATACAGAATAAGAGAAGGTGACCGTTTTGTAGCCCTTGAAAAGCTCTATCAACTGACTATATTTAACACTCATCATAATCACAATTGATTGCAGAAGAAGTTTTTGCTGACATCAATCTTATCAAAAATCGTCGTTTTCAAGCTGTAGTTTTAGTGGCAGTTGGGTAAATTTTTATAAATCGGTGGAAATCAAATGTTTTGAGATCTGGTTTGTCTTATCTTAAAATAAAATAGTGCTTCTCTTACATCCGAACAGAGGAAATTCAATGGCTCCGTTTCCTTTCCAATGACCAGGCGAAAAGGTAGAAATTTGCCTTTTTTTCATAGACTGTAGTAAAATTACCGTTTGCATCAGAAAAACACGTTCAAAGCCAACCTCTGATCCATGAAAAGAAATACGGCACTTCGGAACACTAGAACATACATTTTGATTCTATCTTAATGCATAGTATGATGTTCAAAATAGATATCTTTTTGTTGTGTTTTAGGTTTGAAAGTAATGGAAATTGAAGCTTCGCTGTATATACCTATATTCTTTTATTTCTACGGTATATGAAAAAAATGTTCAATATATTTTTTGTAGAGAATAAAACGATAAATCTTTTTAAAAGAAATTCAAGTCTCGGCAATGAAAGAGATAAATGAAAAATACTGAGATCTCCATTCTTTATGGGTCACCCGTTAATATAACAAAATATTTTAGTCAAAATGAGACTAGCAATTAATCGAAGGTCAATAATCTAATTAAAATATGTCAGATTATCTAACTATTCTGATTTATTATCAATCTTTTTTAATACTAACCTTATCGATATTACCAATTTGAATGACTTGAATTTTCTCAAGAGAACTTGTTATATTCTATGTTACAAGTTCTTTTCTCTTTTTATTTTACTCTCTTTTTTTTCTAGAATTAATGAGTATCAATAAATGGCTGAATCAATACTAAAATTATTACGAAACTTAATTCAAACTGAAACAACTGATGATTTTCTATTTGATCAAATTCATTCACAATTTACATTTTCAATTTTAATTATTTCGTGTATAGCATCAACAACATTACAATTTTGGGTTGATCCTATACAATGTGTTCAACCCGCTCAATTTACCGAAGGTTATACATCATTTGCTCGTACACTATGTTGGCTAAATAATACATACTATTATCCTCAAGCTTATTATCAAATACCAATCGATATTACTGAACGTCAACGACATCGACTAAATTATTATCAATGGTTACCATTTATATTTTTATTACAAGCCTTTTTTTTCATGATACCACGTTTAATTTGGTTAGCGTTTAATAATTATAATGGTTTAAATCCAAGTTCATTAGTTCTTCAAGGTCAAAAATACGATGATAATCAACAAATTTCAAATTTTATTTCAAAAGAAATTGAACGATATTTAATGTGTCGACGTTTAGCACAATGTAAAAGAAAATTATATTATCGTTATAGTGAATATTTGGTCAATAAAAATGATGAACATTCTAATGATAATCTAAATACAACGACAATATTATTACCAAAATTATCGTTTGTTACACGTTCACGTAATTCTTATATTGTTTATTTGTATTTATTTATTAAATTATTATATATTCTTAATATTGTTATTCAGACACTTCTATTAGATACACTATTATCAACAGGAAAATATGGTTTTATTAATTTTGGTTATGATATGTTTAAATATTTATTTCATCATCAAAAATATAAGCAACAAACATTAATATCCTACAAACAATTATTTCCATTTGTCACATTATGTGATTTTAATATTAGAGAATTAGGACAAGATCATTCATACACAATCGAAGTAAGTTTAATACTATTGTAATTGAGACATTTTACAACAAGCTAAAATAATAATCGTATGCACATAACAAAATTATTAATCTAAGATTGTGATTACAATCTGTAATCATCATTAGCTATACTTTACAATAAAACACACGACTATATATGAATCAATTGCAACTTTTTTGTACAATGACATTTTTGAAGTATTTTTTGCTGCTAACACCGTTGTTGTGAACGGATTTTCAAAGTTTTTTTTTATTCTCTATCTCAGACCCTAGCCACACTACCATAAAAATTTCGTAACAATATGCCGTCAACTAACTGAGTTACGTGGGT